ACGTGTGCTCTTCCGATCTCTTCCTCCCAATATTTATGTAGAGGTCTGCCTCCTCGATTCATGACAAAATTAAAATGTACACTTATATCTAATATCACTAAATAACAATAATATCTGATTGCACGTTTATGCTACCGTCGTTGTCTGCTTGCCGCGCGCGACAAGCGTTTTCGAATTATAGTGATGCGTGGCGCCACTTTATGTATTATACATGGATGAAACCTATAATGTATTATACGTAGTTTTATCCATGTATGAAAATCATGTATAGTACGTTGTATATAATCCGTGCCCAACCCTGGCTGCGACCCAAGCGCCTAGAGCTAGTGACTCATACACGGCGCCTGATTGGCTGAGTAGCGGCGGCGCTCGTGTAAGTAGCCGGTGACCGGAAGAAGAAGCGGTCGTCATGATTATTCGTTATTGTACCGTCGAACCGAGAGGTCTCGTGGAGACCGCATGCGTAATAAATAGTGGTGAAGTTAAAGGAGTCTCTCTCTCTGAATCCCCGTCTCGATCCTACGTTTCCCCAAGGTCCCCTTGGTTCGTTAGTCGAAGATTCCCCGCGCTATCCGTCGGTGACAATCCTTGCTAAGCCATACATTATTTCCTGACATTTTCCCAGTCGCTTGGCGGGAGACTAGAATTCCAGAAAACTAGTATTCCTGCCTTACAGATGCAAGTGATTCAGCAGATACATTCATTCTTAGAGGTGACGTAGTATAATAATTCAAATTATAACAAATATATATTGAGTAATAGAACGCAGAAACGTAGCAAACAGAATTTTCTGATTAAGGAACATCTCATTTCTTTGTATTTGCAACAGTGAAGTTTATTGATCTCAGAGATTCAAAGCTTCATTATTATGTATTCTCACATTACGTTCTATTGCTTAATAACCAACCTGCTTTTCAGTTACATTTATTTTTTGACATTTCTTTTAAAATAAGAAATTATTTTTTTTTAGTGCGTAACAAATTTATAGCAGAAGTAGAGGATGGAGAAATAGAATTTCGAGATTCAGATGAAACTGAAATAGATTCGGAGGATTTGATAGAATACATAAAGGAAAAGCAGTCAGATAGCTTTATTTTGAATATTTTTAGCAAAGTTCAAGTGTAAGCTTGTTAACATTATAGGTTATAACTGTGTACATTGTAAAAATATATTTTCAAAAATTTTGATTTTGCATTAGGATTATTCATAGAGGATTCAACTGTAATAATAGATACTTTATTGACTGCCAGTACATCAGCTGGTTGCAGTAACAACACAGATGTTTGCATTTTGCCTGTTACGCAAAATCTCAAAACTGCAGTTAAAGAGAATGTTACTCCTTTAAAGATCCTTCAAGATCTAAAAAAGGTACTTTTAGAAATAGATATGTATTAATAATAGTAATATAGTTTCCTTTAAAAACTATTTAATTAAATCAAAAAAATTAATGCATGTATAGTTATGTTTTAATAATACCACACACATATTTTACATATAATATATAATACTTTAATAATAGGTTGTACGTTAACAAAATTTTGAATGAAACGACAATTGGATGTGATCTTTTGGAAGAATATGAAGTTAGTGATACTTTCTTTGTTAGTGAAATCTGAATCTCGTCGAGCTTTGGTTAGATTAATTGTTAAGCACATTCAAGAACAACATGGGTAAATAATTTTTCTCTAATATTTTTCTATACATAATAAGAATTAAAACTTTTTTGGTATGTTTAAAAATAACATAAAAATATTAATAAATTAAATACACGATTTAGGCTCAATAAATTAGATTAAACCAGTGAACAATCAAGGGCAAATGAGCCAAAGGCAAGTTATTGGTAGCCAAAAAGTAATTATATTTAAATAGGATCCAGACGTTTCGGCTTCAATTAGGCCATATTCATTGGATCAATATACATTATAGTCAATTAATAAAACATAGAAACTTATAATTACATTAAATACGCAACAGTAGA